AGCAGCCGCAGCTGTGCGGCAGGATGCAGCTCTTGCCGTTGAGCACGTAGCCCGCGTCGCACTGGCAGCCCTCCACGCAGTAGTGGTTGCAGTCGCTCTTGAGGCGGATGGCGGCGCAGCGCGGCTGGCACACGCTCACGCAGCTCTCGTAGTGGCTGTGGGGCGGGCAGGTGACGGCTGCAACGAAGGACAAGGCAGGGCCAGACAGTCAGGAACCCAGGGCCTCCCCGGCTCCCCGTCGGGGACGTGGAGGGCGCGCGGGGAGGAGAGTGCGCGCGACCGCCTTTCCCCATGACCGCCCTCTTTGCTTTTGGAAAGCCTCCGACTGATGATGGCTTAAATAATGGGCCAGCGAGCAGGTGGAGGCAACCGGAGGGCTCTCACTAATCTTGTCCTCTGCTCAGCCTCTGATCTGCTCGTGTAAACGCGCCCCCCCCCGCCCCCAGCAGGCATCTCCGCTTCCGGCAGGCGCCCGGTCATTTCTGGGGTTTTGTTTAGCTTCTATATTTGCAACATAGTTGCTTAGAGTTGCAGCTGAGAGGCCAGCAAGTCAGGCGGGGAACGTTGGAGTCCGCAGTCACTGGAGCAAGCAAGCCTCCCTGTTTGCTTCAGTGCATGGCTGCTGGCCGCCATCTAGGCCGGCAGTTAATTTGCATATCGCCCTGATTAGCCAATGGGAAGGGTAGCGGATGTACGGCTAATTACCATGTTTCTCTTTTATTAGAAAGGACTAGTGGCCCGGTGCACGTAATTCATGCACATTAAAAGAGAATTAATTAGAGGAAATATTTTAATATTGCTATTTGCCCTTTCTCTATAATAGAAGCGTCAGAGATGAAAGAAAATTAGTAAAATGTATATGAAAATCTCCCTCCTGTCAGAGTCTGGGGCGCACTGTGGGCAGGCGCCACAGCCTGAGGTCCCCTGGTCTGGCACTGGGGTGGGGGGCATGGCCTGAGGTCCCCATCAAGCCCTGCCTATGGGGGGTGGAAGGCGTGGCCTGAGGTCTCCCGTCAAGCCCTGCCAGACTGGGGGCATGGCCTGAGGTCCCCTGTCAAGCCCCATGGGGCAGGGAGCGTGGCCTGAAGTCCCTCGCCCTGGCCAGGTGCCATGCAGCCTCAGGTCCCTGCTGTTCGGTTGTGACGTTATGGCATCCTGGCTAATTTGCATATTCCTCTATTATATAGATAGATAGATAGCTGCCAAGAGCTATCCTATGAGTTCCAAGGGCTTTTATTCCCATCATTTCATTAACACACCTTGATTTTTTATTTACAACACACTGCTCAGGAGAGTAACAATAGCAGTTACCAGTTACTGAACTACGAGGCGCCATGTAGCCGCAAGGCACCTGGCGTGGGTTACTTACACAGCGTCATCTCTGAGCAGGTATTAGTCACATTTCATAGACGCGGCAACTGAGGCCCAGAGTAATGACATGGATTGTTCAATGTTCCCCGCAAGCCACAGTTTAGCAGGATCAAACCCAAGGATCATTCCTTCGAGCACTGACACCCAGGGTCCCTGCCGAGGGTGCAGGCAGGAGGCTCCAGCGGGGGAGGTGGGGGGGGGGGCAGAGATAACACTGCGTTTTCAGGCTTGAGCTGGTTATTTCTTCTCCCAGATTGTGAGAAAATGGAACTTATTATTCTTATCTACCACATATTCTGCCTTTTCCTTTCAATTATCAATATTTCTAAGAGCTAACTGCAAAACCCACCTCTCCCAAGAAGTCATCTTTGATTAGCTCTACTGTTTAACCCTGCTCTCCCCTGTCTTTCTAATACAACATTTAAGCAAATTTCCCACTGAAGGTGAAATTGAGGGCCACTTCAACACTGATTTCTTTTGCTTATTCCCAAAGTAACAAGTCAATGCATCTTTACAAAAAGGAGATAATATTCATTTTTATCTACTTTCTTTCCAACTCAGACATTTCAATTCAATTTGTAAATGCTATTATTTTTAATTTAAATTTGGTTAGTATTACTTTTCACTTGTAATTTTTTCTTGTCAAAGTTTTCTTGTTCTTTCAAGTGCATTTATTTTCCTCTCTGGAACAGATGTTACTAGTAAGTTCCTAAGGCAGGGAACATGCTTTATCATCCTAACAACACCTCTAGCACAGGGATCTGCAAAGAGCCGGCACCCATACTTGCTGTTGTTAGCTGCCTGCTCACAGTGGGAGGCACTGGTGGTGTCAGGTGGGTGAGATTCCCTGAGATGAACATTAGTGAGTTGTATAATAGCTGATCACTGGGTTGTACACCTGAAACTAATGTAATATTACATGTCAACTGTAATAAAAATAAAATCTAATTCAGTGTAAAAATAAATAAGTAAATTTATAAAGTACAAAGTAAACGATTTAGTGGGCGCCTATGTTCTATGAAGTGATAGGCACAAAGGACGCCTCCAGGAGCTGCCCGCGTGCGCCCTCTGTGGAGGGGAGCAAAGGCCAGATGTGGGGGCGTGGCCTTCGCAGTCCAGATGAGTCCCTGGGGAACCCCCGGGAGGAAAGGCACCGCTTTCGCTTGCTCCTGTGGGGCCTCAATCGCCAGAAAAGGCAAAGCCACTCGGCCAGCCGCAGGCCCTCTTTCCCAGTTAAATATGTCCTCGGCTGAGGCCAATGCCAATGTGGGACTCAGAGCTCCCACCCCTCCAAGGGCTTCCGCAGCTCTCAAACCAAGGTCAGCGGGATAGGAGGCCAGGGGCCAGGGCAGCGGGAGAGAGGAGGGGTACGGCCGCGGTCTCTGCCGAGGAGGGGGGGACCGGCCTTAGTGCATTTCCAAGCCCCATACTTCCCAGCGAGCGAGCGCCTCTGCGCCTGTGCGGACCCTCCCTGCAGATGCGCACCCCACTCCTCACAGCAAAGCGCGGAGGTCGGCCAATTGGGATCACCTTTTTTTTTTTTTTAATGTTTTCCCACTGATTTTTAGGGAGAGTGGAAGAGAGAGAAAGAGAGAAACATCCATGTGAGAGAAGCACATCGATTGGTTGCCTCCTACACAGGCTCCGGGCGGGGGGAGGAGCCTGCAACCGAGGTGCAAGCCCTTGACCGGACGATCCGGGGCGAACCCGGGGCTCTACCCACGGAGCCACAGGGCCAGGGCGGAAGGGGGAGGGCGGGGCACCGG